AAATGTCTCCAAAAATTTTCAACTCTCCAAAAGCTGATCCACGAGGCATAGAAGGGGAGGAAATCAAAAGCCACAGAGCCAAATTATTCAACAGGATAAGAGACCAAAAAATCAGACCAATAAGGTACATGGCAAACTCAAAGAAAATATAACTAAACAGATAATGGTTAATAAACAAAATGAGACAGCTTACAGAAGACACTAATAAAATGCTAGCTGGACTAAACTAAACAAACAAAACATGAATGACTAGTTTAGTAAAGAATCAAAGTCCATGAAAAGATACCAAACAGAAATTCAGAAGATTAAAAATTCCAAAGCAACCAACATGAGAACACAATGTCAGAACTAGAAGACAGGATTGATGTTGGTGACCATTTATTCAGAACATGAAAAACAAGAGAATGTGAAAACAAGAGAACATGAACATCAAATCCAACAGCTACTAGATGATCCAAAGAAGATTAAGATTAATTAGAATTGGTGAAAAATCAGAAGACAACACAAATGTCATTAAAAAAAACTTGTTCACAGAAATGAGAGCAGAAAATGTTTCAAATATGGGGAAAGAATTAAGCATACAGGTAAGTGAGGCATATAGGGCCTCTTAGAGCCAGCAAACTATGGATTGTACCTCTACAAACTGAGTTGACACAAACCTTTCCTCCTTTAACTTGTGGGTGTTGAGCACTGTCTCACCAACAAGAAAAATAAGACATCAAAAAAAAGAGAAAAAAGACTCAATCACAATTAGAAATGATAGTTGACGTCACAACACTATTAAAATGAGTATTATTAGTTACTACTTTGAAAATCTGTAGTCCAGTAAATTGGAGAATCTAGACGAAATGGGTAAGATTCTGAGATACATATTAAATACCAAAACAGAATCAAGAAGATAAAAATCCCGGAATAATCCAACAATAGCAAATGAAATTGAAGTAATAATTTAAAAAAACCAAACAGCAACAAAAAACTACCAACTAAGTAAAGTCCAGGACCTGATCAGATTCACTGCTGAAGTCTATCTTTTGTTAAAAAAAAAAAAAAAAAAAACACACACACAAAAAATACAAGCCTTCATTGGTACATTTTAGATAAACATAACAACAACATTCATCACAGGGAATTTGTACCAGTATGTGATATATCTTGCTTCTTTTTTCCTCCATTTCCCCCTCCCTTGTATACAAAAACTTTGTTTCCATTTTTTCCTTCAAATTTCTCTCCATTTTTTTCTTGTTCTTTCTTTTCTTTCTCACTACTGAATTCTACAAGAACTTCAGGGAGGATCTAATACCAATACTCCTCAAACTTTAGTGAAATGGAAAGGGAAGGTGTGCTAATATTATTATTATTATTATTATTATTATTATTATTATTATTATTATTACTATAGCTAGTATTGTCCTGATTCTAAAACCAGCAAAGGACCCAAGCAAAAAAAGAGAATTACAGGCCAATTACAGGCCAATTTCTATAACGAACACAGATACAAAAATCCTTAACAAGATACTGGCAAACAATGTGATAAATCATCAAACAGATAAAAAAAAAAAAAAAAAAAAAAGAGGAACAA